TATTAACAATTTCTGCTCATTGACTTGTATAAATAGATCGCAAAAAATATTAAAAAAAATCATATGAGTATTACAGCTGCTTTTATATTAGATACATCTTTGAGTAATATATATATACTAATAATTTCAGTAGTAAAACCTACGTTTATTTTTTACAAACATAATGAAGATCAAAAAGTTAATGAATAATAAATGTTAAACGGAAGCCGATAAATGTTAAAGCGCACATGTATCTGATAAGCTGTAATGCATGTGAAACTTCTCCCAAAGCACTTAAATAGTAAAATGAAAGTTTTTGTAAATTTTACAGAAATTCTGAAATGTATTTAAAATTAATAAAATTGTAAAATTAATACTGATCTCTACCTATATTATTTTAATTAATAAATGCAGTAAAAGATTAGAAGAGATGTGAATGTTATTAAATGCCAATAATAGCATAGAGATATCTATATCGACTTCTTAACATATTAAAGATTATTAATGAATAATATAGAAACCAATATCGCAAAGAAAGATTGAATGAATAATATTCATCAAGATAATAATTAGTAATTACTACTGTAGTTTATTATAATAATTAATTACTAGCACATTAAGCAGTTGTAACTTTCAAACAACATATATTTGCATATACAGAAACCGAAATGATTATATGAAACACTCAACTATTGCATCTTTAGTCATATTGATAATTCAATTGAATTGAAATTGAAAGTTTATACAAAGGATGTAGTTTAAAATATGTAAGTTCAGTTAGTTTGATTATAATATAAGTAGGAGTTTTCAAAAAAATTCGTGTTTACCCAAGTAAAATATAATTTTTTTTCGAAACTGCTTTTCGAATTCAATCATGCACTTAGGCAAATCGAATGTATTGAATATAATTTAATAAACCTGGACCATTTTTTAATGAATGCTGTGCTAGTCTCATTTCCTGAACCACAATCAAATGGTAATCTTAAGAGTTTAAAATGTTGGCAAGAATATAATAATTTTATAGTGATATTTCGGAAATGCTGTTTAGCAAAAAATATCTGTCTCAACTACAATAATACGCAATATCGCTACGAATTCGCATAAAAAATTATTAAATTATTAAACTAATAATTTATTAAATTATATTCAATTTTGAAGCACATTCGGTTTGCCTCTAACAGTCTGATTTTGAAAAGTAGTTTCAAAAATTTTGTATTGTCACAAACGCTGAGTAATAGAATTTGCAAATATCCTTTACATAGGTAAATAATTTGACATGGTTCATCGAAAGGATTTAAAAATGTATTTTTATTGAACAATTAAATATATTTCACGGTACACATGCTCATCCAGCCATGAAGTTCCAAATAAAACATTTAAAATATTTAGAACACACTTTTAATTAACTATGGCAATGAAAACATTCATCAAATTTCTCTCAACAAATATGAGGCTCATATAGATATATTTATATATATATATATATATATATATGTGTGTGTGTGTTTTAATTAATTTTTTGCAAATATTTAAAATTTGGCAAGTAGTACCAATATCGTTATTATAAAATAAATAGTTACTAGAGTAAGAAGAAATCTATTTAATTCGCATCTCACCATAAAGATTAATAGCAAACAATACTGAAAAAATGACTTTTATTGTAATTCGTTTTTAATTAGATACTAATATTAATATTAGTGCAGTATCTAAACGACGTAACCATTTGTTTTGAAATAATTCATTTCTTAGTAGAAATTGCATAAAATAAATAAATTCTCTACATATTTTCTTCTATAATATGAAAAGGAATTGTGTCCAACAAAATCTCATTTTCTTTAAAACCGCCGTTCAAACATGATTGTTAATAAATATTTAAATGTGCGTAAATAAATGCAAAATCAGTAAAACTGACAGGGCATAACATTAAAAATAAATTGCTTTTCTCGGAAAGAAATTTTACGTATAAAGCATTAAAACTAATGAAAGTTCGTGAATTTACCATTACCGTTAAATAGTACTATTTAACGTACATCTTGAGCAGAGACTAAAAACTTGTAATCTGTTAAATAATATAATATCATATTATTATCCATTAGAATATCAACAGAATTATTATCTAATATTTTTAAAAGTTTCAATTATCTCCTGAATCTAAGAAATTAAAATTCGTTATTGTAGTACCAAAGTACAAATATTTGAACAATCTACTAAATTCTTGACTAAATTCTTCACAATGATTTGTCAATTTGCATTTTTAGAAAACTCTCATGAAACAATATATAAATGGTCATTTTTATTCAGATTATTACATCCACTATTGCGAAAGAACAAAATCTAAATTGAACAATGGACAATCATAACAAGCAAACAATTAAAATCAAAAGAAAGTTTAAGCTATTCGCCAACAATAAGGAAGTCTAATTATGAATAAAATACGTGCAAAACTGCACACCAATTTGGTACAGCGAATTGGTTTTGCTTAACAATAGAACGACCGTTGAAAATTAATTTCAACGGTCGACTTTGACTATAAATCAAATGAATAATTATTATGCAATCTTAAGTCATATTCGTGTAATGATTTAATGACGATTTATGTCGTTTGAATTTTAGGCATAATTTTTTAAGAAAATTAGATTTAAACATCATTTAACTATGCAGTACAACTTACAACTTTACAAGTAATCCTTGGTTTGATTTGCTATATAAATAAATCGTATTCTTTGGCGCTCTACAACCCACCTAAGATGATTCTTAGGTTCATCTATTCTATACTATTGTTCTAAATCATCTTATATAGAGATGTATATTCTTTTATTTATCTTTCTTAATTTAAGAAAACCGATTGCCAAGTTAAATATTTTTTAGACAAACTTATTCCACTTACTGAAGAACACAAGAAAAAAACTCCCGTACCTATTTTTTTTACAAAAAGCGTAATAACATTTAGCTCTTTTTTGCATGCAGATAATTATAAAAGAAGATAAACTATATCAAAAATAAAACAATTATCAGAAATAACTAATAGTAATATATAATTAAATCAAATTGAATAAATTGACACACAAATGTTTTTTGGTTTGTGTGTTTTTTTATTTATTTAAAGCATTTAACCTGGTAGTTATTTATCAAATTGGATATTGAAAATCTGATAGCTAGAGCATCTTTAGATGAACAGAATAAACTTTTTCAAATATTTGTTTAGTGATATATATCTGCATTACTAATTTTTATTTTTTTAATTATATATTACTAATAGTTGCATCGGATAATTGTCTTATACTTCATATAGTTTATCATTATTTATAATTAGCTGCAAGCAAGAGCTAAATGTTGTTATGCTTTTTGTAATACACATCAAATTGGGTGAAAAATTTCCTCTATCAATTATCAATAAAAATGACAATGCCTCTCATAACTTTGTTCGAAATTCATTTGTGTTTTAATTATATCAGTTCATTAATTAGTTTTTTTCAATGCCTAAAATAAATATGTATAAATATTTTATAAATATTCATATTTATTAAGTTTAATATTTTTTTTAATTTCAGTTTTGTGTGGCTCTGCTTGCTACGTTTGGTTTTGCGCTTGCAACCTTCGGCAAGGAACAGTAAGTAGTATAATTTATTTTATAATATTACTTTAGCAAACATTTCAAGATATTTAAAATAGTTAATGTTTTGCATATCTAAATAAATTAAAGACTGTTTATGTTTATTATAAACTTTCAAGACAAGAATGAAGCTTTGTGCAATGTCAACTTATCAAAATACATTTGATAGAAACTGAAATATGTTCTTGCATTTCTTCATTCACTGATTACTTATTTTTGCAGCTATTGAAATTAGCCCAGTACAACTTGCTATTTTCATGGATATTAATTAATTTATTCAAATTAAATTATAAGAACTAAAAACTTTTATATAATGAATTAATTAGTATCAAAACGACATTAATGCTAAAAAAATAGTTCTAAAAATAAAAGAACAAGTTTGTATTCCAAATTATCGCGGAATTGAATGGTATAAGTGAAGAGTGAAGTTTAATCGAAATTATTGTTGTCAGCACCATTATTTGACAAGCCATTATATAGTCTTTATTGAAAGTGAATGTGAAGAGAAAACGGTTTGGATAAGTGGTCAAAATCAAAAAATATTTTTATAACCATTTTAGAAAACCAAAATTAGGTCCTTATTAATTTAGAAATGTAATGAAGCAAATACTTTTGAAATATATAAATCGGCATATGCATATGCAATTATATTGCGTACCCATTCATGTGCCGCTCTGGATCAATCAAATACTTTTATAGTAATATGATAAGAATAATTGAATACTTTGTTCAAATTTTATTATTTTCGTAATATATTTACTTCAATCAATATATTATAATATGTAAGTTAAAAACAGTGTATTTAATCATTTACAGTGTCCACATACGAGTGCATATAAAGGAACCAGTTCATAAAGAAGAACACCACAAAGAAGTAATCATTCATGACCATGGTGGCGGTGGTGGAGGTGGCCACGGTGATTTTGGCGGTGGCTTTGGCGGCGGGGGTCATGGAGGCGGTGGTGGTGGCCACGGCGATTTTGGAGGTAGCTTTGGCGGCGGCGGTTATGGAGGAGGCCATGGCGGCGGAGGAGGACACGGAGGTGGTGGCGGTGGACCCACTATAATCATAGAACAACATGATGGTGGTGGTGGAGGCGGCGGCCATGGCGGATTGGGCGGTGGATTTGGAGGAGGCCATGGTGGAGGTGGTTACGGAGGTGGCGGCGGTGGCCACGATGATCATCATGGTGGCGGAGGAGGATTTGGCGGAGGATTTGGAGGAGGCCACGGAGGCGGTGGTGGTGGAGGCCATGGCGGTGGCGGGCACCATGGTCCGGGATTAGCGGAAACATTAATTGGAGGTTTTCTAAGCGGCGGAGGCCACGGCGGAGGAGGCGGCCATGGAGGTGGTGGTGGTCACGGCGGAGACTTTGGCGGTTACGGTGGTGGTGGCGGCCACGATGATCATCATGGCGGCGGCGGAGGTGGCTTTAGAGGAGGATTTGGGGGTGGTTTTGGAGGAGGTGGCCACGATGACCACCATGGAGGCGGAGGTGGATTTGGTGGCGGCGGTGGATTTGGAGGAGGTGGCGGCCACGATGATCACCACGGAGGTGGTGGCGGATATGGAGGCGGCGGTGGCTTTGGAGGTGGCTTTGGCGGTGGTGGCGGAGGGCATGATGACCACCACGGAGGTGGTGGATTTGGAGTAGGAGGTTTTGGCGGTGGCGGCGGTCACGACGATCACCACGGAGGTGGAGGAGGATACGGCGGCGGCGGTGGTTTCTCAGGTATCTTGGCGGCGGTGGCGGACATGGTGATCATCACGGAGGAGGAGGAGGAGGTGGATTTGGAGGAGGTCACGGAGGTGGCGATCACCACGGAGGAGGAGGTGGATATGGAGGCGGCGGAGGATTTGGCGGTGGACACGATGATCACCATGGCGGAGGAGGTGGCGGCTTTGGCGGTGGTTTTGGAGGCGCCCACGGTGGCGGAGGCGGTGGTTATGGAGGCGGCCACGGTGGCGGAGGCGGTGGTTATGGAGGAGGACACGGCGGCGGCGGCGGTGGTCACGATGATCACCACGGAGGTGGTGGCGGCTATGGAGGAGGAGGTTTTGGAGGCGGATTTGGTGGTGGACATGACGATCACCACGGTGGTGGTGGAGGAGGATTTGACGGCGGTTTCGGAGGCGGCCACGGTGGGGGAGGCGGTGGTTATGGTGGCGGTGGACACGATGACCATCACGGAGGAGGTGGCGGAGGAGGTTTCGGCGGCGGACACGGCGGAGGCTCCGACAGTTATTCTGGAGTAGATAGCTATAGTGTAACTAGTCACGGAAGCTTTGGCGGCGGCGGTGGTGGAGGCCATCACGGAGGCGGCGGTGGATTCGGCGGTGGCCATGGAGGTGGAGGTGGTGGTGGCCACGGAGGCGGTAGCGGACATGGTGTTGGTGGCCATGGAGGTGACAGCTACCTTAATGGAGCTTCCGGTGGATTTTCACCTAGCGGCCCATATCATTAATGTGAATGACAGTTGATGTTGATCAGAAAAAACGTCATGGTATATTTTGCTAATGATATACTTTCTTACTAAACAAAATATCTATAGCCTATATTTATTACTATAGCCTATCATTTTATTTCTACAAATATACACAGAAGTAAATGGTACAGACGATAATTCACAAGAATTAGCAAAAATTCACAATGAATGAAATAACGATGAATAAATGAAAGAGTGTTAATTATTGTATTATAATAATTAATGTTAAATGTTACACGTATAAATATGAAGCTAATATTTCTGAGAATTGTAAATATAAATAAATTTTTATACGGTTAATATCTTGTTATAAAGAGTAATTTAAGAAAATAACGAGTCTGTATAGTGTTATATAATTGTAAATATTAACTATTTTAATAAAGTTGTTATTATCTAATAAATGTTTTATGTTCTTTTATTATTATTAATGTTTCTTAAATACTTGAACATACTTACGTATTAAATCTTATAAAAAATCGCAAGTATAACAATATATAGCAAATGAAATATTACATTATCTACTTACCAATGTTAATCCAAAAATGCAGCGTAAAAAATATTTTGTTTAAAAAAATAGTAATCTGTTGGCATAGTTATGAAAAATTATGAAAAGGATTAATATTAAGAAATACTAAACGGTTTATAAAGTATAAACCAATTATAAGCAGAACCAACACGAAACAAATTCCAAAGTAAGAAAATGATGTTTTGTTAATGGCGAAATTCATCAACAGAGTAGAGCGAACAGTTTTAAGCTGCTTCTGTACCGTTAAATTAATAATTTTTCGATACTGATCCAATTAAATTACAAAATATAATACAATATAGAAAACTTACCTAATTATTGAATATCTCCAAAAATAACATTAAAAGTCCCATTAAAATCTAACATGTCATTATCAGCATCATTTGAATCATGCAGCTGAAATTGCAACGCTACCAAAACGTAAGTCACAATGCTACCGGTAATCTGAAAAGAATAAGAACTAGCTGTAAGTGGAATTCTGTCTTAAGGCAATTAAGGCATCGTGCCTTAAGGCAAATTGCTGGAACTTCCCGTGCCAAAAATTATTATTTTTTTAAAAACGATTAACATTTTTGAAAAAATTTTACTTCGAAAAAATAAGATTTTTTAGAAATTTTAAATTGGACAAAAAATTACTTTTTTTTGAATTTTTTATTTTTTTTTTAAATTTTTAAACAATTTTTTTTATAAAAATTTTTTTTGGAAAAAATGTTATCTTCATTTTGACATATTTTGGAAGATCTGAACTTTTTTTCAAAGCAATCGTACTGCTTTGACTGCATAGAGACAAAATATAAAGCGCGTAAGCGCCGCGTCGCTGTCTAACGGAAAAACATTGGTACGGAACCCATAGGAATGTAAACAAAACTTATACTTATTGTTAAAATCTCAATAAAATATCTGATAATTTGATATGCATATGTCTAATGCTTAATGATTATTGTTGACCGCCAAATGTTATTTTTTTTAGTTTTTTTTTACTAGATCTCTGAAACCGCTAGACCTATCTTCATGAAAATTTGATCAAATCTTCATCCTGTTAATACAAGTAAAATGTTTTTGAAATATACAAATCGGACGCTCCGTTCTCTTGAAAACTGAGTTACCGTTTTTGGCTCTTTTTGCCCCATATCTTCGGAACGGCTAGACCTGCCTTTGACAAAAACTAATCAGCACGTCTCCTTATCAATACGAATCGAATGTTTTTTGAATTATTCAAATTGCTTCATACGTGTTCCCGAAATCGTCGACGAAAATTTGTATCCGAACACACACACATGCACGCACACACACACACACACACACACACATACATCAATTTTCTCCAAGGTATGCCAACATATTCAGAAACCTCTGAAATGTGAAGATATATAAAAAATTTCATTTTCGATTTTTTTGCGATTACTTACCCTATGGAAAGTTAATTATAAATAAATCAATTTATCATCTCCAGAACATTAACAATCGTCATTTCATTTCGAATCAAATTCCAAAAAAAAAAATAGTTGCCAAATTTACACAAAATTGAATAAGTGCTCCCTCATAGTCACAGTCTAAACGCATTTGCAAATAATTCTGTGCGACATTTTCACTTATACTGTGCTCAGCTTGGCGGCATTTTCACATTTTTCAATAATTTTCACAAAATTGGAAAAGTGCTCCAATACACAAGCAGTCTAAACGCACATGGGTAAACATTTGTACCAGAGTGGCGCTTAGACTGTGTTTAGCTTGGGTGATTTTTTGAATTTTTAATCCAAAATTACAAAAAAATTTTTTGAAAAAAAAATTAGAAACAAAAAATTTTTTTTCCAAAATCAATTATTTTGTTGAAAAAAGCAGAAAGTTCTTTGAATCATTTAAATCGGACGCTTAGTTCTCTCAAAAACAGACATTTTTTTTAAATTTAGCTCTGTATCTCCGAAACCTCTGGGCCTACCTTTGCCAAAAACTAATCAGCACATCTCTCTATCAATAGGAATCGAATGTTTTTTAAACCATTCAAATCGGTTGATCCGTTCTCTCAAAAACTCGCTTTCTATTTTTTGCACTCTTTGCTCCATATCTCCGTAACGGCTGGACCTGCCTTTGCCAAAAACTAATCAGCACATCTCCCTATCAATAGGAATCGAATGTTTTTTAAACCATTCAAATCGGTTGATCCGTGCGCCCGAAAACGTGGACGAAAAAACGCGGACATACAAAACACACACACACACACACACACACACATCCATTTTTTCTGAAGTATGCCAAAATGTTCAGAAACCTTCAAAACGTCGAGAAATGTAAAAATTTTTGATTTCGATTTTTGGACGATTACAATAACTTACCCTACGGGAAGTTAAAAAATAAATTAAATGATTTAAAATTGGATAAATTTTAAATAAGAAATATTACTTATTTCTTATTAATGTGTCAGTTTCAGATCGTCTAAAATCTTTTATAATATTAGTATTTCAATATCTGAAGTTTTCTCGAAAATCATTTAGAATCGTACTTATTCGTTTTTCGTGGAGATAATTATAAACGTATTTTTACTAACGTGCCGACAAATATTCAGAAATAAATTTATCAAATACCAAATATTATTTTTATTGAAGTTCTTTTAAATTCCCATCCTAAATAAATTGTGTATGTGTACGCAATCGATTTCTATTTTTTTTATAAAATACACCTACAGATATTATCATTAGTCACTAATAGTGAGCAGAAACTATTACCGTTTGCTTTGCATCTGCATATTTTAAACGTTATTGTTATTATTTCTAATATTAGTTTTTTTATAAAAACAAATTTTCTTTAATGATTTTGTTGAATATTTGTTTATTTTATAAATGAAATAAAGTTCAACTTATAACGTTCATTTAAATTAAACGCAGAAACTTGAATTGTATTAGATGTAACATTCATTACTAAACTAGGAACAAATGCATTCAGCAGATTGTTGAGTAAAATATTTTTCTACTAGTTGGTATTGGTATTTTGCAAGTTACATGAACTTCCCGATATGTGTAAATAATCGACTTAAATAATAAAATATAAATTAATTTATGGGTGACTAAAAGTATTTCGAGTGGATTTATTACACATCATTGAGAATGAACGTACATACAATCGTTATACCAAATAAATCGTCTAATTTAATGTCAAAAGAACTGCTCATTTTCTCAAACTTTGATGAATTTTTAAAATTAAACTACTTGTCGTAAGGCCGTAATATTCTATAAGACCATAATATATATCGCCAAAAAAAGTTCCATAAAAATCGGCTTAAATTTTATTTTCAACAGTTAATTACAAGAAAACGGCTCGGTAGATTTTCACTTAAAACTAATCAGTATCATTCCCAACTAATATCTTTCGAACAGTATGATTTTTAATTTTTTAAATCGATTCGGTAGTATGAGCTTAAATGTGGACGAAAAGTTTAACAATTTTTTTTTAAATTACAAAGAAACGGCTCGGCAGATCTTCGCACAAAACTGATAAACGATAGTCCTCATCGAGATCATCGAATGGCTTTTCAATTATTGAAATCGGTCGAGCCGTTTTTGGGAAAACGTCGATTTATGGCAAAAAATCTGTACATATACACACACACATACTTTTTCCAAATTTGATCACATTCGATTCAGAATGGCTCGAAACGTCGAGAAAACATAAAGTTAGCTAATCGGATTTTTTGATGAAAACAAACATCTCCTTCGGGAAGTTAAAAATGGGTAAAAGCCTGATTAGCGGATTATATATTTTCTATCTTGCATACAATAATTTAATAAAACTTATTTACTGAATAGTTTATAGTCGCAAAAAAATGTATTTTTTTCATGGTCATAATCACTGTTTTGGAACAGTCTATAATATATATTATCAAATGCATGTCACAGATGCAAAAATCAAATTTCCAACCATTAATGTAGATTTAAGTAAAACATAATATTAATTAAAATGACATAAATGAATATTATACGTGTTCAAACGGTTGTAAAATTGCTTAATGTTTATGGTGAAAGTTAAATTTAAACTATTAAATCATCAACGGCTATAAGATAACATTTTAGATAATAAACGTGTTAAACACATCGTACAATGAGAAATTGATTATATGTTAGAAAACTGTTATATATATATATATATATATATATATATATGTGTGTGTGTGTGTGTGTGTAATTAAGTTTGAATAAGTTTTTTTTTGCTAAAGAATAATTTCAATATTATTTTATAAGAAAAGTCTGAATATCCAACATCAACTTAATATAATAATTTTATAGATACTTAAATTATCAAATCTAGCCAAAAGATAGCATTTACTTGTGCTCTAATTGCAATAAATTGTTGATTTGTAAACTAAACTTAAAAACTTCTAATTTAGTATTTTTGCATA